CGCTGTCTGTGGTTCAAGAGTGGCTTGACACAAGGAATGCGACAGCAGAAACCCATGTCTTTCATACGTCTGTGTGTGGTGGTTCTTGAAGCACTCACTCCAGCTGCAGTCCACTCTTTGTGAATCTCCCCCACATTTTTGAAGGGGTTTTGTTTCACAATCCTCTCCAGGGTGCGGTTATCTCTCTTGCTTGTACACTTTTTTCGACCACATCTTTTCCTTCCCTTCGCCTCTCTATTAATGTGCTTGGACACTGAGCTCTGTGAACAGCCAGCCTCTTTAGCGATGACCTTTTGTGTCTTGCCCTCCTTGTGCAAGGTGTCGATGGTCGTCTTTTGGACAACTGTCAAGTCAGCAGTCTTCCCCATGATTGTGTAGCCTATAGAACTAGACTGAAAGACCATTTAAAGGCTTTTGCAGGTGGTTTGAGTTAATTAGCTGATTAGAGTGTGGCACCAGGGGCCATCAATTTTGAACCTTTTCACAATATTCTAATTTTCTGATATGATGAATTTGAGATTTTCATTTGTTGTCATTTGTAATCATCAAAATTAAACAAAATAAACATCTGAAATATATGAGTTTGTATGTAATGTATGAATATAATATACAAGTTTCACTTTTTAAATGGAATTACTGAAATCAATCTACTTTTTCATGATATTCTAATTTTATGACCAGCACCTGTAGTCATCATATTTGGTGCAATGACCCAGCAGATGATGGCAGAAGGTCTCCACAACAGACCTGGAGAAGATCTGCAGCAAACACTGAAGGACCCAAGCTGCACATACCTGAGTGTCTTTGACAGCCGCCTTAGATTTAGTCGGATGCTACGTTCAGATCGCTAGCAGCAGAAGCAGCTGGTTTACATGCAAAGTCAATGGTTGATGTGCAGCAAAAGGTTCCGCATCTCGTTTTAAGGAGAAGAAGCAGAGCGTCCTGAGCTTCTGAGCATCAGAGGTGCACTTCAGAAGCAGCAGCTGCTGGAGTTGAAGCAATGTAACTTCAGCTGCTGGACATCAACCAATCAGAGAAGCTGATCTGGGAGCTGGCAGGGAGTCAGACACAGCACTGCTGATGCAGAGCGCTATGATCACTCCTCTGGAACAGTTTATTAACGCCTAAACTAACTTAAAATATAGAAACCTGACGGCAGAATATGTTTGCGAACAGTCGCAGAAAACTGCGAAGAGGCGACCAGGCCTAAAACAAGGATTCCCAGTGACAGCGCAGCGCCGGTATGTGGGGGTCTGAGCGGCTCCCACAGAGAAATAATCTTTGAAGGCAGGATGGTAATCTGGATGAACTGACTGCACAGACCATGTTTTCAGGAGGACTTTCTCACTTCAACATAGATTCAAACCCAACGCACATCAGACCCGCTTTTCCGCCGCGCAGCCAGAGCAGCAAAGATGCTTCAGCTGCGCATTAGAACTAAACAAGCATCAATAAATAAGGTGTGATCGTCTCTCTGACTTTATTGGCTGTAGAAACATCCTCTCTTCCCTTCTTCTCACTGACGGCTCCACTCACTCTGACACTCTCACACTGAGTCAATCTTATCACATCATTGCCGTGATGTCAGGCTGTCCTCTGGCTTTCTCACCAGACATTTTGGGGAAAAAAGGGGAGTCGTTATGGAAACAGAAGTTTGATCCTCTCCGATGTACAGATGATCGTCGGATTGTGTGACCAGCAGTGGTTATTAAAATACGACTTGCTGTTTTTCGGTGTAAACTGTGGCGTCCCTGGGTGGGCTGTAGCAGATTGAAGACTCATTCCAGCGCCAACATTTTGGTGTGAGAGGGAAAAAAACCACAGATTCAGCCATTTTCAGCCTTATGGGCAAACTGGTCACTTTATAAGCTAATGATCTGATCAACTCCCTGCTGGGAATTTACAGAAGGGAGGATTTAGATAAGCCATAGGTAATTAAACCATAGATATATTTTTTCCTCCACATCCTCAGTAAGAGACAGATGGCAGGAGGTTATTTATGTAAGAGTAGAGTGCAGTTGTCATAACTAGATGAGCTGCAGGCTCTGATTGGGGACAAGCAGGCAGAAACTTCTTTAAATCCTGGAAACGTATTTGAACTCTGACATTCGTAAGGAAGGGAAAACTCACTTTGATCCAGTGTCTCTGAAAGCAGCCTGAACAAAGTCCAACTGTTCGACGTGCAAAATAAACTCCAAAACAATCGTTAGTCATTCTGTACCGCTCTGTTCTTCTTAAGGGGTGTTTAGTACTTTCCTCTGATCCAATACTCAGCAGAACATTTTTTCTGTAGTAAATCACAAATTCCATAAATCCTTTTTCTTCTACTTAGCCGGGGTCAGTAAGCAGCTCAGTAGGAAGGCCCAGACTTCCTCCTCCTCAGCCACTGGGGCTGGCTCCTCTGGGGGAATCCCGAGGTTTTCCCAGGCCAGCCGACATAGTCCTGGGTCTTCCTCTGGCTCCAGGAGAGATTCTCAGCAGATGCTCACAGAATCTTAAAAGAAAAACAATGAAATAATCCAGTTAGGAAAGATAATCTATTTAATTGTCGTTTTCATTTCTCTTTCCTTTTTGAAATGGGTTCTACGATTAGAAATGTATTTGATTATGTTTTAATAGACCAAAATGAAAATACATTTTAAAGGAACATAAAGGTTTAGTTACCCCCCCAAACCCCCCCCCCCCCCCCCCCCGAGGCTTTGCTGCATGCAAATCGGACTCCCAAAGCAAAACCATGTGGACAGTCTTTGAAATAATCTTCACATTATGGACTTTTTCAGGTTTGTTGTTTTAATGAGGCGACCCTAAACTCACTTTTAATCTCTGGATGCTTTTAGAATCCGCTCCTGTATTCACCCAGCTCCACCCCTATTATTATAAAATCAGTTTTGTTTTCCATCTCTGACTCAACATCTGGACTTTAAATGAAAAATCCAGTCAGCGAGGAATATTCAATGGATCATTATTTATACCTAAAACTAATACGTTTGTGGTTATTTAATGAATTTAGTGTTAATCAGTAATAAAAACAATAACTTTCATGGCGATCACTGAGTCTGGGAGCGGCCATTGTTGCCCAAATATAGTAGCCCCTCCCTCCTGCCATCTTCCAGCAGTGACGTCACGGTGCGGTAAGCCTAGCGCCATTCTCCCCGCTTTCCAAGCTAAATCAATGGGAACTACTAGACACATCTGCAATCAACAACAATTATTGAAGATTTCCAGAGGACTTCACCATTGAAATTCACCAGAGCTATAGTGAAACTGACAATGCCCACGTGCATGGCAGCTGGATGCTGGAATACATCGGGTAAAAGTGAAACAAAGAGTTATTCCACCTTTCTGATTCCTGATCCTCCACGGACGGGTTGGTCGTTGGATCGCCAACTTGAAGAGGGAGGATTTGCCATCGAACTTCTGGCCAGAGAAAAAACCCGTAATATGTAGCCAACATTTGGAAGAAGAATGTTTTCAAGATGACTTGGATAATAGCGCGTTGTGACAAACACCAGATACAGCACTGGGACTTGATCAACAGCCGATACCGCACTGTGACGTCACAAACCAGTAGGTGGCAGTAGTGTTCTTTGACAAACATGGCTGCCTCCAGTAAAGCACATTCACATGAAAATTACTCTCAATTAAAAACTGATCATTTATTGAACAGGATGGAATCATTTCACATTTAAAGAACTTTAAGAAGTTTAGATTCTGAATATGAGCGACTTTTCCTTTAAGAACTGCGCTCTGAGGCCATTTCAGGTCTGATTAGTTTACGTCTGAGTGCAGCGTCCAGGTCAACGAGGTCACAGAGTCTGAACTGGTGTTTGCAATCACTCTCTCTGGCCTCTCAAAGATGTCTGCCTCACCTCAGTGTCGCCTCTGAGAGCTATGGCTCTAAAACCTGGAAAACTCTGCGCTCAGCTGACGGCATCATGAACACACGGCCTCTCTGGGCTCTTTTTAATGGTGATGCTGTGGGACCGTGCTCTGACTGAGTTACACCCCCGGATCAGGTCAGCTGTCCGGATCGCTGTCAGGCCCAGAGAATTCAGCAGCTCAGTATCCGGTCCACCTCAGGCCGTCTGCTTGTTTGCAAGCATTAAAACGGTGAATAAAATGGAAGCTAACGTTGCATAAAGAACATAAACAGGAAGACCTTCATCGCTTCAATTAAACTTTGTTTTTAATAAACTTCAAACACTTTAATGGGTTTCATGGATCGCTGAAAGTCATCTAAAAAAGGTAGAAAATGTTTCTAATAAATGTATTTGCTCTAAATTCATGCAAGTTAATAATAATGATCTTAAAATAAGGTCATTAGACTTTATACACTTATAAGAACATAATGGAGTGCTTTTTATTTTAAACATAAACCATCTTATTAACCTTACTTGCTGGAATTGTGGGAAAATACGCTTTTAAAAATGTTTGGCAGTGTGAGAACAATAAAGTGTTATTTTGTGAAGCTTCAGGTTGGTTCTGGAGCCGCCGGTCTCCTCTGTGCTCTTTGTTGGCTTTTTTCCCTTTAGCTGCTGGTTATATAACAGCTCAACTTATGTAATAAGATGGAAGTGAAGCAGCTGATGGCAGAGCAGCGCTTTGTAAAATCCTAACCCTTTATGATGATTGGGAACTGTTTGAGTTTATGGAGGGTTATTTGATTCGCCCTTTTCTAGATTTTCTGCTCCTGTTGTCGCTCTCAGATTCTCTCTCAGCTCCATCTGCCTTCTCAGCTGTTCCTCCTTCTCACTCGTCCTCCTATAGATGAACTCCTTGGCCGTCGTTGCTGGTTTGTTTTGTTGTTCGGTCTCATGCTCCGTCTTCTGCGGTTCGCTCCCCCGTGTAAGCGCCTTCATTTAACCCCCTGTAGTTGATCAAACCTCTGGACGTCGTGGTGTGCAGGTTGCCGGGTTACAGATAAACATCCATAAACGGTTTGGTCCGGGTCTTCTTGTTAAAGATGTCGACTGAATTTTGTATTTTTCTTTTGTTTTCAGAATTCAAAGAGCGCCCAGGGGCTGGTAGGACTGAAGAACTTAGGAAATACTGTAAGTAAACCTGCATCCATCCCCCCCCATGCTACACGTTACTTCTATCCATATTAATAATTTACATTGATTACAGTTTTAATTCTAATCCGTTACTTTAAATTTTAATTTAATTTTTTAAATAGAAAATTTTTCCATTTTAAAATCTAAAGTTATTTTCTTTCTTTTTTCTGTCTTAATGTTGGCAGTGGGCTTTAGGCTGCCCTGCAAGGCTTTAAACCTGGGTTTAACCAGAGACTAAGCCATTCTCAAGCACATATCAAGGAGCTCATTCTGAGCCTGGATCCAGATTTATTGTTGATTCTGTTCATGGTGGAGAATCCTGCTTCACAGCAGCAGGTTGAGCCAAACATCCTCTAAATGTGCAGGGTCATCTTTGAGCACGCCATTTCACTTTTCTTTCACCAGTTCACCGCAGTTCTTCCAGCAGTCCACACTTTCTCTGCTCTCTTTTTCTCATGGTCTTCTCCTTCTTTCCCATCGCCCGGCTTGCCACAGGTTTGCCTGCTGTGTCTAAAAGTAGCAGCAGCAGCAACCCAGACTGACAGCTCATTGGCTCATTTAGATCACGTGCAGCCTGGAGCCGGACGCTCCCCAGGGCTTTACCGTATTAACAGGAGAAGAGGCGCAAGTGAAGTCAGACACAATAATTTATAAATGTTTTAAATCAGGTTGGTCCGTATCCGGACCGCGCTCCGTTAATCCGTGACCTCTGACCTAAACTTTAAACTATCAGGGAGACATTGTTTTTTCTGGCAAACATCGGACCTCTTTCCAATATATCATAATAATAGAATAACTGAACTTTATTGATCTCACATTGGAGAAACTCCCTCTCTGCATTTAACCCCTCCCTTTGGGGAGCAGTGATTGTGCGGCACCTGGGGAGCAGTATGGGCTTAAGGGTCTTGCTCAGGGACCCAGAGTCGGGGCTCTGGGGATGGAACCGGGTATTTGCCACCTTCTCAGAACAAAAGCGCACTAGTCTAACCACTAGGCCAACGCTCGGATCCAGACCTCCCTGCTTCAGTAACCAGACCAGTTTAATCCCCTCTGATTCCTGTTACTGTGAAGCTGAGAGCCTGTTGGAGGTTCTGGTCCCAGACGGCTCCGGTTCTGCAGCTCAGTCAGACCTTCTGGCTCCCCGTCTTACTGCTCTGATCACAGCGGATCCCACGTCTTCTCTGTCGGCACGGGATGGAAACGTTTTCACACGGATAAAGTTCCAGATACGGTGGGAATAAACACCTCGGAAAAAGAAAACCAGTAAAAGACTGAATGAAATGATGCAAAGATAAAAAGTGATCAGTTTAGTCTAGAGGGATTCGTCTTGATTTGATGCACTGCAAAATATGAAATAGAAGCAGGTTCTAGTGGTGGTTTCATCAGGCGCCGCGAAGCGTTTCCACACATTTGCAAACTATGGAAATTGTTTCAGTTAATACTGACACCTGCTGGACGTTTAAATTCACTACAGGCTGCCTACAATATGATATAAATATGATTTAAACCATTGTTTGCTATTATCTATTTGTTTAAATTGAAAATATGTTTGATATTTTTATAGTAGTAAAAAATAAAAATTTCCCCACTTTCCTTGGTTTCTACTGTAGATGCAATTAACAATCAGTAAATGTAAACGTATAACAGGAAAATGTTAGTGAACATGTGAATAAGGATGTTTGTGGATTAGGATTAATTTATTTAAAATAACGACAGTAAGAACAGCAGCCTGAGTGATAACTGAGAGGGACAGAATGAAACGAGGAAATTAAAGAAATGTTAGATTAAAATGATCCCGCTCCCTTCAGGCTGCTCCATCTTTCATCATTCATTTGATAATAAACTGAAAAGGGCCAGATTTATTTTGGCAGATGTTCTTATGAACTGTCAGGTCTAAGCACCTAAAACATCATACATACATCCAGGGAAAGAAAGAAGGCACAGAGACAATTAATTTAGTTTTACCTGCGGGAGAGCAGGAAGAGACTGCGGAGTTTACAAATCTCTAACCCACTCTGCCGGTCTTCAGCTTTCTCCTCGCTATTTATTAAAGTCAGAGGGGGGGTCCCTAGTTACACAAGCTGAGGTTGCGCTAAAGGAATAGGAAACAAGAAATACAATTCAATTTGCAGCCTCAGTGAACAGGTCAATTTGCTTTTGAATGTCTTGCGGTCAAATGGTCCGAGAACCTCCTGGTTTTGTTAAGCTTGAGCAATACTTCCTGACAGTTGACCTATACACCTCTCTGGAACAGTAATATGTCACACATTATACATCATAAGAACAAACATTAAGTGTCTTATACATAATTATTCCAACATAGACACAGTTCAGTGTACCAGTCAGTTTCAAATGGCTCCTGCATCTGTCACGTGACTTTCTATATGCACATATCGACACAGGGTTAGACACAGCTGTTAGAGCTCCACGCATGCGCCGCCGCGTCGCTGTTCCTGTTCATTCTTCTTGAAATAAAGGAGTTATTTTGTTTCTTTTTCTATGTCTGCTTCTGTCTCCTTGAACCCCAGTGGGCCTCAGCAGATGGCCGCTCACACTGAGCCTGGTTCTGCTGGAGGTTTCTTCCTGTTCAAAGGGAGTTTTTCCTCCCCACTGTCGCTACAAGCATGCTTAGTGTGAGGGATTGCTGAAGAGTCAATGAGTCGATGCAATCAGCTGGTTTTCCTCAGATAGAAAACTTTGAATCAATCTGACTGGATGATCTGGTTGATCTGGATCTATAAAGTGACCTGAGATGACATGATGTGAATTGGAGCTATAGAAATAAACTGAATAGAACTGAAATTTAGGTGTTTTCTTCTGAATTTGGCTGGTTGTAAATTTATAAAATGAGTAAATTAACTTTTAAATTAAAATAAAAGTGCATAATAACAAATGATATCTTTAATCTGCTCCTTCCATCAGCAGATCCTCTTCTTTCCCGAATCATGAGTTCTTTTATTTTTCGATCAGGTTTAGGGAGAATCTTCTCAGCTGATTCATGTTTTTTCCCGCAGTGTTTCATGAACAGCATCCTGCAGTGTCTGAGCAACACACAGAGCCTGCGTGACTACTGCCTGCACAACTCGCACCGCAGAGACCTTAATAACAACAGCCGCACCAACACAGCCCTCATGGAAGGTGAAGTATTTCCCCTGGAGTCTAGATCTGCTTTGCTCTGAGTTAGATCTGCATGCTGCTAGATGTGTTCTAGACACGGAGGGAAACGTTTTCCTCTAAAGATGTGAAAGGAGGAGTCATTTAAGCACCTGAAAGGTGTCATTCAGAGCCGGTTTCCCTTCAGCCATGTCATTAACCTCATCCTGTCTGTGTTGGTAGAGTTTGCAAAGCTGATCCAGACCATGTGGACGTCGACCAGCAGCGAGGCCGTCAGCCCGTCCGAATTCAAAACGCAGATCCAGAGATACGCTCCCAGATTCGTGGGATACAAGTAAGTTTCATGGCTCTGCTTTCCTGCTGTTATGTTTGACGGCCTCCGCTCCGCTGCGGGGCAAAGCCCAGAGGAGCTCAGCCCAGAGGAGCTCAGCCCAGAGGAGCTCAGCCTAAGAGGAGCTCAACTCAGACCCAAACTACTTATCCTGGGGATTATAGAACAGTTTAAACTTTTCAATTTTAGGCCTCCAGATATTTTCAGGATATAAATGATGCAACAAATGAAAAGGCTGAAGACAGAGAAGCTAAATTTGATGCTTACTTTGGTCGTCTAATGTTCAATTACAGGGTTTCCTTCGGTCATTAAATTATTACTTTTTAAATTTTAGGCCTTAATTGGCATTAAATACATAAAATGTGTTTATCAGTGGCATTTAAAATGCTTTATTTATAAAAATAGTTTTATCTGATATGTTGTGCAAAATGATATCCTGCAGACAATGAATAAATAATTAACTAGAACTGGATTATAGTTAATTATTTAACTTATTTAAAATTGTAGGTGAAATCAGTTTAGTGTTCTTAGTGGAATAATTGCAGCTCTGATTTACTTACTTACCCTGGTTCTTCTAACCAGCACAGATTAAGAATAAGCATTAGTTTTATATTTCTCTCTCTATCTGAATCTTCGCCCAATCGCAGCACCTCATTAAAGCATCCAATGCGGTTGGGCCTCGGCTCGCTGCGGCTCCGTCTCACCAGGAACCGTTCCAGGAAGAATTGTAGATCAGTCTGATGCTGCAGCAGAGGAACTTGATGGGCTTTAAAGACAGAGGAAGGTTTACTGACAGCCATAGAAAACAGGATCGTCCTCCTGCAGAGAGGCTGTGATCAGTGGCCAGGTCCTCACAAAGGGGGAAAAATCCACACAGCGTTCAGCTTCAGAGTTCACCGTCTCACCCGGTTCAACGGGCGCTTTGCACGATGGCTCACTGTGATCCATGACTTTAGACGCAGGAAAACAAAAGCTACTTCCAGCTAGCTTACTTTAGTATTCCATGTAAAATATGCGCCTCTCCTCACAGGCGATGAAACCCAGGGAAAGGGGTTGATTTCTTTTTCCACGCTTGGATTTAAACCCTGAATGATGGAGGCGCATTTCCTGCTGGGATTCCAGCTTCTGGTCAGCTGATTGGTCCATGCGTCAGCTGACTGGTCACCTTGGCTGGAACTTTCCAGAACCAGTCCTCTGTTCTCTTTTTAAAAGGGGAGGGGGGGGCGGGGTTGATGGGGTTCATCAAATTGATTTGGCTCCATTGTGGCGAAATATTCCAACGGAACTGCTTCCATCGTAAAGCTCGATCGTAAAGCCGAATGTTCGTAAAAGAAGCGCGATAACGAGGAATTTGGAACATGGCTGCAGCTTTGATTTTATATATAGAGAGAGATATACCTATCTATAGAGTTAGAGAGATGTAAATCTATAGAGAGATATATAGATCTATAGAGTTAGAGCAAGATATAGATCTATAGAGAGATATAGATTATAGAGAGATGGAGAGATATACCGTATTTTCACGACTATAAGGCGAACTTAAACGTCTTTTTTTTCCTCAAAATGTGCGGTGCGCCCTTTGGTGCGGTGCGCCCTTTGGTGCGGTGCGCCCTTTGGTGCGGTGCGCCCTTTGGAGCGGTGCGCCCTTTGGTGCGGTGCGCCTTATGTGTGTTGTAACTGCGACTTTTGAGACCACCTCATTGAGGAGATGATGAAAGAGTGGCTGAATGTAAGGAGACCAGGTGTTTTTTTTCCACTCATCACCATCGCTGTTAATATGTAACTCCATGCGTGCCCATCTCACAGCTGATGTGAAAAACATGGGGAAACAAATTAACGCTGTGCTCGCTGTTCAACCGCTCGACATCGGTGTGAACCGGACCCAGCAGGTGCAGCAGAAGCAGCGAGTTTACATGCAAAGTCAATGGTTGACGCGCGTATAGGTGCAGCAAAAGGTCCTGCAGCGCGTTTTGAGCTGCAGGTGCAGCACGTCGGGAGCGTTTAAGCATCTGACGCACCGCCAACGCGCTGCTGCTGCTCGAGATGGAAAAATTGAAGTTTTGCTGCTGGACGCGCCGCATCAACCAATCAGAGAAGCTGATCTGGGAGCTGACAGCGAGACAGACACAGCGCTCTGATGACATATGATATTAACGCAAATGAAACGGGCTGGGGAGATGATGAAAGGCAGGTGTATGTGAGGAGACCAGGTGCTTTTTTCCACGCATCACCATCGCTGCGTGCCCATCTCACAGCCGAAGAGAAAAACAGGATGAATCAAATGAACGCTGTGCTCGCCGTTATCCCGGGGGGTCTGACAAAGGAACTTCAACCGCTCGACATCGGTGTGAAGCGGCCGTTCAAAGTAAGGCTGCGAGCGGCGTGGGAGCGATGGATGACAGACGGAGACCACAGTTTCAGGATAAGTGGAAGGCAGCGCCGGGCAAGTTACGCCACCATTTGAGGATGGATTGTAGATGCTGGGACTAATGTGTCTGCTGGCTCTGTTGTTCAAGCTTTCGCAAAAGCCGGCATCATTTCTGAGGAGCCGCGCTGCACGGAAAGTGACTCTGACAGCGAAGAAGAAGGGGAAACTGGCATGTCTGATTTAGCGCAGCTGTTTAATTCAGAAACAGAGGATGATGACTTTGATGGGTTTGATTAATACTTTGTAATAAATACATGAATAAAGCACAAACATACTCAGTTTTGCTCCCGCTCTATTTTTCTACCTGAAAACTTAATTCAACAGCAGCATCTGGGCGGGTCTCCTCCTCTTCAGCGCGGTGGCTGGCAGGTGTTTTTTCATCTAAATAATCTAAATCTTGCAGCTATATTTGCTGTGATCAGTGGGAATAAAGTAGTTTTAATATGTTTTTAAGTGAGAAAGTCCACCTGAAAACTTAATTGCAGTCAGTTCATCCAGATTATCTATTTCTGTCGGAGGCGCTCAGACCCCCACATACCAGCGGTGCGCCGACAGCAGAAATCCCTTCAACAGCAGCCTCACCGCGGCTGCTGGCAGGTGTTTTTCATCTAAATAATTTTAGCTGCAGGCACCAGGATACCGGCAATAAAAGCGAACATATTCCGTCGGCAGGTTTCAGGATTTTAAGTTAATTTAGGAGTAATCACAGCGCTGTGTCATCTGCGATGTGTCTGTCTCATGGCCAGCTCGCAGGTTTGATTAATTTGTAATAAATACATGAATAAAGCACAGTCATACTCAGTTTTGGGCCCGCTGTATTTTTAAATACGTAGTAGAGCTATTTAAAGGTAGTAGAGGACATTTACCTGTATATAAAAAATGCGCCCTATAGTCCGGTGCGCCTTATGGTCGTGAAAATACGGTACCGTAGATCTATAGAGAGATGTAGATCTAGAGAGAGAGAGAGAGAGATGTAGATCTAGAGAGAGAGAGAGAGAGATGTAGATCTAGAGAGAGAGAGAGAGATGTAGATCTAGAGAGAGAGAGAGAGATGTAGATCTAGAGAGAGAGAGAGATGTAGATCTAGAGAGAGAGAGAGATGTAGATCTAGAGAGAGAGAGAGATGTAGATCTAGAGAGAGAGAGAGAGAGATGTAGATCTAGAGAGAGAGAGAGAGAGATGTAGATCTAGAGAGAGAGAGAGAGATGTAGATCTAGAGAGAGAGAGAGATGTAGATCTAGAGAGAGAGAGAGATGTAGATCTAGAGAGAGAGAGAGAGAGATGTAGATCTAGAGAGAGAGAGAGAGAGATGTAGATCTAGAGAGAGAGAGAGAGATGTAGATCTAGAGAGAGAGAGAGAGATGTAGATCTAGAGAGAGAGATGTAGATCTAGAGAGAGAGAGAGAGATGTAGATCTAGAGAGAGAGAGAGAGATGTAGATCTAGAGAGAGAGAGAGAGATGTAGATCTAGAGAGAGAGAGAGAGATGTAGATCTAGAGAGAGAGAGAGAGATGTAGATCTAGAGAGAGAGAGAGAGAGATGTAGAGAGAGAGAGAGAGATGTAGATCTAGAGAGAGAGAGAGAGATGTAGATCTAGAGAGAGAGAGAGAGAGATGTAGATCTAGAGAGAGAGAGAGAGAGATGTAGATCTAGAGAGAGAGAGAGAGAGATGTAGATCTAGAGAGAGAGAGAGAGAGATATATACAGGTGCTGGTCATAAAATTAGAATATCATGAAAAAGTAGATTGATTTCAGTAATTCCATTTAAAAAGTGAAACTTGTATATTATATTCATACATTACATACAAACTCATATATTTCAGATGTTTATTTTGTTTAATTTTGATGATTACAAATGACAACAAATGAAAATCTCAAATTCATCATATCAGAAAATTAGAATATTACTGAAGACCAATAAAAACAAAGGATTTATAGAAATGTTGGCCAACTGAAAAGTATGAACATGAAAAGTATGAGCATGTACAGCACTCAGTATTTAGTTGGGCCTCCTTTGGCCTGTATTACTGCAGCAATGCGGCGTGGCATGGAGTCGATCAGTCTGTGGCACTGCTCAGGTGTTATGATAGCCCAGGTTGCTCTAATAGTGGCTTTTAGCTCTTCTGAATTGTTGGGTCTGGTGTATTGCATCTTCTTCTTCACAATACCCCATAGATTTTCTATGGGGTTAAGGTCAGGAGAGTTTGCTGGCCAATTAAGAACAGGGATACCATGGTCCTTCAACCAGGTACTGGTAGTCCTGTTGGAAAATGAAATCTGCATCTCCAAAAAGTTGGTCAGCTGCAGGAAGCATGAAGTGCTCTAAAACTTCCTGGTATGTGGCTGCGTTGACCCTGGACCTCAGAAAACACAATGGACCAACACCAGCAGATGACATGGCACCCCAAACCATCACTGACTGTGGAAACTTTACACTGGACTTCAAGCAACGTGGATGAAGTGCCTCTCTTCTTTTCCTCCAGACTCTGGGACCTTGATTTCCAAAGGAAATGCAAAATTTACTTTCATCAGAGAACATGACTTTGGACCACTCACCAGCAGTCCAGTCCTGTTTCTCTTTAGCCCAGGCAAGACGCTTCTGACGCTGTCTGTGGTTCAAGAGTGGCTTGACACAAGGAATGCGACAGCAGAAACCCATGTCTTTCATACGTCTGTGTGTGGTGGTTCTTGAAGCACTCACTCCAGCTGCAGTCCACTCTTTGTGAATCTCCCCCACATTTTTGAATGGGTTTTGTTTCACAATCCTCTCCAGGGTGCGGTTATCTCTCTTGCTTGTACACTTTTTTCGACCACATCTTTTCCTTCCCTTCGCCTCTCTATTAATGTGCTTGGACACTGAGCTCTGTGAACAGCCAGCCTCTTTAGCGATGACCTTTTGTGTCTTGCCCTCCTTGTGCAAGGTGTCGATGGTCGTCTTTTGGACAACTGTCAAGTCAGCAGTCTTCCCCATGATTGTGTAGCCTATAGAACTAGACTGAAAGACCATTTAAAGGCTTTTGCAGGTGGTTTGAGTTAATTAGCTGATTAGAGTGTGGCACCAGGGGCCATCAATTTTGAACCTTTTCACAATATTCTAATTTTCTGATATGATGAATTTGAGATTTTCATTTGTTGTCATTTGTAATCATCAAAATTAAACAAAATAAACATCTGAAATATATGAGTTTGTATGTAATGTATGAATATAATATACAAGTTTCACTTTTTAAATGGAATTACTGAAATCAATCTACTTTTTCATGATATTCTAATTTTATGACCAGCACCTGTATACTTTAATTTGCTGATTTCCAGCGTTGGAGCATCCATGGCCGTCCCTGAGAGACTTTGCTTGTAAATCTCCATTGGTGCTTTGTTGTGAACGCAGCATAAAGTCTGCAGAGCTGCTTGCTGTCTACCTGCAGGTTGCTGTTCAGCTCTAATAAAGAAAATGTTGATGAATTTCTGCAGGTTTGAGGATCAGAAAGTGATGAAATGTTGCTGATGTGTCTCAGCCAACAGGATGCCCAGGAGTTCCTGCGCTTCCTGCTGGACGGCCTGCATAACGAGGTCAACAGGGTCACTGTGAGGCCCAGAGGCACCGTGGAGGATTTCGACCACCTGCCGTAAGTTTTCACACCGCAGCAGAGAAACGACTCTTTTTGGCTAGTTAAGGAGCAGATCAGCTTCTCATGCTGTGAGCAGATGCTGATGGTTCATCTTTTAGCCGCTTCCTCTCCATCACATACCAGGTGTTTGACCTGCAATCGCCCTCACTGGGCGTGTGATGTCACAGCATAGAGACGCCATGCTACGCTGCTCATAACAGCTACTATAGGCGTACCAGCTCTGACGGCGCGTCGCCGTTGGACATCACAGAAATAAACGGACTCCATGAGTGCGTTCGATTTTTAAAGGCTGTCTTCCAAGGACGCCGTCTACCTGGACTGGATCCTTCCAGGTCCGTGGAAGTAAGGGCTGCTTCTCAATTCACAGGAACGCGAGTATGGACTCTTGTCCTCGCCAAGTCCGTTCTAGACTCGAACCCAGGAAAGTCTGGACTCTGGGAAAACGGGAGAATGCAGCATTAACCTGGGTCAATGGGTACAGCAGCGTACTGATGACATCACCACATTCAAAGCTGGTCTTGAGCTGCATTTCACCTCCTGGTATTAATAGAATATAGATAATAATAAATTCTGACTTTTTTCATTTAGTGGAGGAATAATGATGAACAGTCAGATAAACACAAATGAACGTTTTGCCAGCAGTCCTTCACACACGGCTATGCAGAGAGAGGGCTAACGTTAGCCCTGGCCGCTGCTGTCAGTCTGGAGAACAGACAAGTCTGCTCTGATGCATGCTGGGTAAAGAGGGAGGGGCCAGAACAACATCTGGGAAATTTGTCCGTTCTCTGTCTGCTGTTCTTGTGAACTGGAACAGTACTAGGGCTGAGGCTGATGACGTTTCACGAGAACGCACAAGAACACATGGTGAGAAACGGCCAAGTAGACCAGAAGAGTTTTGGCTGTGGATCCAAACAGGTCCAGCCTTTCTCCGCCCTACGCTCCGTCGCTTAGCAACCGTGACAGTTGACACACAAAGCAGGAAAAGAAAGAATACTGAACTTTTTAAAAGTCAGTAGTTAAATAGTTTCTTTTTTTTTTTACTGTAAAATGAATAAAAATGACAAATCAAATGTAATGATAGAAACTTTAGTCAGTTAAATAACCTGCTGCTGTCATTCTGCACATCTCTGATGTTGCTGCTATTTTCAAATATCCATTACTGTAAAAATGTCCATAGCTGCATATTGGTTATTTATTCTCCAGTTTTATATTGTTAAAACACTTCACAGGATTTTATCGTTTATCTTTTAACTGTTTAATATTATATTATTGTCATACATTTTTCTAAGGTCCACATTTGTGTGACCATTTTTTCTATAATCTCTTTGCTGCTTTAAACACAAGAATTTGCCCATTATGGGACAATAAAGGGATTTTCTATTCTATAAAGGGGTTGGAAAAAAAATATATCTGCAAAATCTATTATATCCAACAACCAAAATACTTAGTTAAGCATATTGTGCAAAATAGCAATAAAAAACTAAAATCCTATCAGATTTATAGTCCCCACCCTGCAGATCTATTAGAATCTGTCCTTAAATTCCAGCCAAACCTTTAGATAAATCAAACATTACCGCCACATATCTGACTCAATAACCATTAAAACAACTATTTTCATTCATTTCAGACGGAACTATTCACATATTTCTATTATATTAAACTGAACTTCCAATATTCACCACAGTTTGGTACAATTTCCCCTTTTCCTCTGAGCACGGAGCAGCCGGCTTGCAATGAATCATGGGATACACAACGATGGCAGGATGCAGCGGATCTGTCCTTCACATCGGGCAAAAAGAAGGACGCCACCCATGATTGGCTGGAAGCCGCCTCACATTAAGAGCTGATTACAGGAAGTTTCCGTTCTGCAGCTGAAAGCTGAGATCAACCAATAACCGGTTCATCTCAGCATGAACAGGAAAGCTGTCTGTGTGACATCACTTCCTGGCTGCGATGCTGATTGAACTCATTTTAAGGGTCGGACGCATTAGAAGAGCATCTCTGCTCCGTGTTTTTCCTCCTAAACAACAGGTGCAGAGAAAGTAGGTCAGCTCCCATGTGTCGCTGTAATGAAGCGCTGAGCGGCGCCTCCTGAGGTTCAGGTTTCTGTTTACAGGCAGGTCCTGCAGCATCACAGCTTACAGACATCAAACCGACTTTAAAGCAGCTCAGAGTAACATGCTGGGAAAACCATTACTTCTGGAATCAGTGGCTTTCAACTATTGATCCAGTAATTGGAATAAAAACAGAAAATCTTTATGCTTCTTCTCAATAAATTCATTTTAGTTTCAAGTTTTATTTGAACTTTGTCCTAGAATTTGGATTTTATTCGATTCTCAATCATCTCAACAATAAGAAGAAAAAATTCAGCCTTTTTATTTGAAAATTTCTCCTCATTTCTAAATCTGATGCATCTTTTTCTGCAGCGCTTCGATTTGATCCTAAAGGGTAAAAGTTTTAATTCCTCCCGACCTGTAGGCGGCGCACTGCAGTAGAGGCGACCCTTCCTGGGCCGGTTGATCAGTGTGCGTCGACCGCTGCTCTCTATTCATTCCCTGGATTGCTGACTGTCCCGTTGGTATTGCTGGGGGGGAAGTGAAGCTACTGGCGGCCATATTTTCAAATAAAGATAAATTCATCACTTTGACTCACGCTTTGAAACCAGCGTAGGTGACGCAGTGAATGCAAATGTGAAAACCCCACCCATTAGCGGCAGCCAATCGGAAGCCATCTGAATGGTTGGAGCTGTAGAACCAGACCCGTTAGATCTGCCATCAGTTAGCATCCATTTTATTCCAGCTCCAAACTCAATGATTGAGAAACTTTATGTTTTAGATTAATTCCACCGTCCGATCAGAGCGACGGGTGTCGCTGGAGGAGGAAGCGGCGTCTGGTTCCTGTGGGACCGTGAAGGGACCGCCATCATTCTTTTGAAAGGGAAGAGAATTATTGACTGGATGTAGATCTATAACAGCCTGATGAAGACGATGCTGAGCGCTCATCCTACTCTTCCTCACTTTATCAATTAAAATGACTTTTCATCACCAGAAAAAAGGCAGAGATGCTCTTATTCTGAAAATTCAGTTTGTCCAGATTTTTAAAAGGAAATTGTTAAAATTCAGAATTTTTTTTTCTTTTTTTACCTGCTTCCATCCTGAATCTGCAGATTTTTAATTTTTCTAATTGTTTTGTTCTTTTCTTTCAGGGATGAAGAAAAGGGGAAGAAAATGTGGAGTAAATATTTGGAGCGAGAGGACAGTAAGATAGTCGGTGAGTTGAACCTTCCTCGGTTCTGTCCTGTCGGACCTTCTGGAGCGCCGAGCTTCTGGAGCGCCCAGCTTCCTCTCCGTCAGCTGTAATCATTTCTCCTCTTCCAGATCTGTTTGTGGGGCAGCTGAAGAGCTCCCTGACCTGCAGCCACTGTGGTTTCTGCTCCACTGTGTTCGATCCCTTCTGGGATCTGTCTCTGCCTATTGCCAAGGTGAGTGAACGCCTGCAGAGACGTTGATGCCGTTTCCTCCATGCCGACCCGCTCTGATCTGTTCCTTTCTCTCTGTGTGTGCTTCGCTCTGTCGGCTTCATTCTACGTTCGTTTTGCTTCTAAATGCAAATGCGTCTGTGCTTTTGCCCAGAAGGGCTACGGCGAGGTCAGTCTGATGGACTGCATGCGGCTCTTCACCAAAGAGGACGTCCTGGACGGAGATGAGAAGCCGGTAGGTTTGCAGCCCTGATCCCATCATTTTAAACAGAAATGAAAGCTGGAACCATCCAAGTATCTGCTGATTTAAAAAAAAAACCCAGAATTTCACTAAGTGGTTCGTTCACTACCATCTGAAACGCATTTCTGCACATTAATTATGTTTTTGATAAAAATCCTTTGGCTAAAATCAGAATGCTTATAATAAGTGTGTCTCAGCCCCTTATGCAGAAGCAAAATCTGAAGCATTAGAATCTGAAATTTTTTTGTACACAGAATTTTTTTACACATTCAGCTGCAAAAGCGTCGACCTTTTGGTGAACTCAGGCCAAAGCAATCTACACTCGATGCAGTCGAGCAGCTTCTAGCCAATGAAATTAGCTAATTTGGATAGAGAGGGGGGAAAAAAAGTTGCTGCCGGCAGCTTCTTCTGGATCAAACCAAGAGGCTTGGCAGACGGGGGTGCAGCACTAGCTGTGATCGTCATTTCCCCCAGTCCTATTAGATGGAAAACTCTAATGGCTGTCTGTTAGTAGCTACCTGACGTTTTGTTATCACATCCATTTAAGAAGAAAAACTCCTCATTCAGCTTCATTCAGGAATAAAGCTACATCTGACTGTTGCGTCATGTGACCAATCTGCTAGATTACTTTGCCTTGAGTTCACTTTGGAGACAACATCTAAAAACAGAGAACTCTGCTCTCCAGAGCGAGTAGATTGGTAACCCCGCCTCCTGCTCTCCTCTATCTTGTCTGCTGTCATGATTCATGCAGCTATTATTTCATCCAAATGAAAAATGCAGAACAGAGAAGCAGATCATGGCTTGTCAAACAGGAACAGACCAGATGAAGCTACTATGAGAAAAAGCAGAGAGTTCAGAGAGATTGAACTAACAGATTCTGCAGAGTGGGAGAATAGAGATAGAATGATGAAAAAGGGGTCCCTATGTCCTCCAGCAGTCTAAGCCTATAGCAGCAGAACTATAGAGATAGCTCAGGATAACCTGAGCCACTCTAACTATAAGCTTTATCAAAAAGGAAAGTTTTTAGACAGGGTGTCTGCCTCACGGACTAAAACTGGTAGTTGGTTCCACAGGAGAGGAGCCTGTGGAACAGTTTTAATGTGGGTGTGTACGTGACCTTTTAGCTAAAAGGTGTTAAACCATATATTTCATATTTTACCAATAAAGATTTTTTTTTTTATAGTGATCACTTGTTTTGCTAAGATTTAGGTCTAAGATGTGAATTGATTTTAGTCTTTGGTCATAAAAAAGGGTTTAAAATGGAAGAAAGTCGATAATAATTCAAACCTGGTTTGTTGTGTAAACATTTATCACTAAAGCGTTTTAGTGTTAATCATTTTATGAGCAGAGCCAATTCTCTGGAAGTCCTCAGCTGTGAACCTTGGACCATAGGGGGGGGGGGGATAGAGATAGAATAAAGCAGAATGGTCCCTTTGTCCTCCAGCAGTCTAAGCCTATAGCAGCATAATTATAGAGATGGCTCAGGATTTTTCAGTTCTAATTTGGACCCAGAGCAGCTCTGCTTTATGGCATACCTTAAGTTGTCCAGCAGGGGGCCACATGCTGAGTTTCCTGCTGCTTTAGCTTCATCTGGGAAAGGATACAGATTTAAAGAGCTGATTTGCTTTTTAATCTGGTGTTAGAATTGAGTCTGTTTGGGTTTTCCTGTTATTTCTCACCTGTTTGGCTCCATGTTTCCTCTCCGCAGACGTGCTACAGATGTAAAGCCAGGAGGAGGTGCACCAAGAAGTTCACAATACAGAAGTTCCCCAAGATCCTGGTGCTCCGTATCCTTTTCCCGCTGCAGACGGCTTCCATCAGACGTCCGTATAGCTAATAGATTCTGATCAGACAGGGAGCTAAGTTTGGTTTAGAAGCTGTTTTGGTTCCAGGATGCAGGCAGAGCTGATTTAAAATGCCTTTTCTGTGGCTGTTTGCTCAGAGAGCTACGTTCCTTCACTCTCCTTCCACTGTAGACCTGAAGCGCTTCTCTGAGGCACGACGAACCAGCAAACTGTCCACCTTCGTTAATTTCCCCATGAAGGACCTCGACCTCCAAGAGTTTTCCTCTGAAAACAGCAGTAAGTAGCTCTAAGGTCAGAAGGAGCTTAAATGGCAGCGAAAAGTGTTTATCGCCGCTTCTACAATATAAAACGGTTTCCCAGATGATGTGATTCTCCAGTTCAAACGGTGAAATGAAAACCTTTTGTTTTGCAGCAAATGCAGTATACAACCTTTATGCAGTGTCCAACCACTCAGGCACCACCATGGGAGGCCACTACACCGCCTACTGTCGCAACCCCAGCTCAGCAGAGTGGTACACCTTTAATGACTCCAGGTGAGTTTGGACGCCATCAGTCAGAGCAGCGCCTGCAGGGTCCCACAGATCCTTTAAACGCATTTAATTCTTCATTATGACACTAAGGCCTTAATTGGTTTTAAAATGTCTTAAATCAGTCTTTTAGAGGTCTTAAAATTGTTATAAATAGGATTTTATTTCTGTAATCCATATCAAATATTAAATTTATTTCGGTGGAACCATTATTGATATCATCCTGATGGTGGAACCAATAAAAACGAAGCTGCTGCTGATGTTCTGTCAGACCAGCGTCCCTATAGTCAATAATCAATAAAGTCACTTACAAAAAACTCTATAAGGTCAGATCGCCACACGCTTCATAAACACCAAACAGTTAGTCATTTGTGTTTTGGGGGTTTTTGTGCGCCGCTGATCGCCGCTCCGGTAACGAGGGGCGACCACCTCCCCATCAGGAATCGTAAGGTCAGCAGAAAATCAAACATGTTTGAAATTCAGTGGGCCGTCTTAAGGTCACATCAGGGCGTCGGGTCGCACAGCGTGAGAACAAACATCGTGAGCTGTGAACTTTTAAATCTGCGTATTCGTCGTACGATGTGAGCTGTAGATGGTGCAACGATTGACAAAAAATCTCAGTGTATGTCCGGTTTAAGAAGCCGACGCACGTCGGACAGAACGTGCATCTGTCCAAAAAACGTCTCACCGGTGAATTAGTTTTTTTGTGTTTTTATTGTTTCTAACGGCAGCTGCTGCGATGCATCCGGGTCCATGACAAATTTCCCTTAGAGGACAATAAGGTAGATTATTTTCTAATCTAATCAATTTGAGGAACTTGGTTTTGGAAAGTCCTTCAATCTTAAAGTAGAACACCGGGTTTTTTTTCCTCATTGGTCCCTTGATTTTCCGTTATTCCATCATGTTCTACTCACCCAGATGAGTTTAGTGTCATCTGGAGCCGTTCTGAAGATATTCCGTTAGGTTATATCCAGTAACGTCTTCATATGGGCAACGACTTGAAGGCACAAACTAAACTGTTCATCATTTATTCTTTATGGGTGTGACGGGGTTCTTTGCCCTCCAAGAATCCAGGCTCAGTCGGGTTACCGGTGTTGGTGATTTATTGAGCTCAAAAACTCCAAACAGGGTGCAAAAGAAACTAAACATATAGAAGATACTCTGGGCCTCAGCCTCCCTCCAGTTACCAGCAATGTAACAAAGAAACAGAAAACAAAAATGGCCGCTTTTCTTCCCACAGCCCTCATTAAATAGTTTAAGCCCCTCCCCTCAGGCTCTCTTATTTCTGATTTCTTCTCATTAATCAGTTTTGTCCATATATTACCTCCACAAACATTTGATGTACAAAAACAAATAATTTTTACAACTTAATTCCTTTACACAGATTCATTGACTTATTCAATTACACCAAACTTTTAAACATAAAATAAAAATACATATAATCTGACAAACATTTAGCGAGTCACGTGTTGGTGACGTCACTTCCGCACTCCAACAACTGTGGCGTTTTAACCGCTTTCTGAGCGTTGGCTCGGGTTTGAACCCAGCAAAGACGCCGCCAGACTGAAGATGACACGTCCCCGTAGCATAAACACGTACACACACACACACACACACGGCTAACCCCACTGAAATATTAAGTGTGCCCGCTCAGTACGCCAGCAGGTAACCAGGAACAGCTTGTGTGCTTTAAGTTAATGGAGCTACTGGGCTCAGCGCGAGCGGATTGGTCCTCACAAGCACAGTATAACAGGAATGTGTGTGTGTCACGCAAAGTTAGAGAGGTTGTTTTTAAGTGACGAGGTGGATTCGTCACAATAGTACGCCAGCATTCAGAACATGTAGGCCAATCACTGTCTCCCAGACATCCGCCGTTAGATTTTTTTATATTTATATTTCTTTAAAACAAAGCGGTGTGTGTATGACATCATCCGCGCGGCGGACTGTAGTAGTGACAGGCAGCCCGGGCCACAGGCGGCTACGCTCTACCCCTTCTATTCATTCTAGCTCATCTGAATCGTTCATCTGGAGAGCGAGATCATCTGTGGTAGCAGCACTAGACATCTTCCAGACATGAGAGGAAAACTAGCAGCAGTTCAGCGGACAGGATGAAGGAACGGTAGCCGGCGCGCACTGATGATGTCATACACACCGACGTCCAAATGACACAAAACTAAAATGTGAGAGTAGAACATGATGTAATAATGTATAATCAAGGACCCAATGGGGAAAAAAACGGTGTTCCCCTTTAAGTGGAGGTATGGCGACTCATTGATGCCACAGGAAGGAGATTCTGATTAAATCCAGAGCGTCTATAAAGCCTCATAATGCAGATGTGACTCTAAATGCCTTCAGTAGCTGCTCATATTATTAACTTCCAGATTAGAAAAACTCAGGTGTTTATTTCTGAATAAGGATGAAGTTCAGCAGGTTTATCTGCCGTGTTAAAGTGAGCAGATGTTCTGTCGACCTTCTGACAGCGAGGGAACCAGGAACCGATCACGTCTCTCTGGAAGTACGAGCCGCTGCAGCTAACGGGTCTGCTTCCTGCCAGTGGCGTTACACTCCGATTGGCTGAACGTTCCCACCTGATGTAAAACACTGTGGTTAACCAGACAACGAAAATAACAGCGCGCAGCGTCCGTGTGCCGATTCTGGAGCATCTGTAGCGTTAGCGCGTCTAATGATCGATAAAGTTTTAACTGATTGAAACAAAACTGAAAAAAATCTGTTTGTGGTGAACAAAGTAACCGTTAGACCGTGATATAAAGAGCTGGGTAGCGCTGTGGCTAGCTGTAGCTAACAGGTTAGCCTCTTTTAGCTCAATTAGTCATATTAAGCTAAACTACTTCTAACTTCATGTCAACAACGAGCGATTGTTTGTTTTTTTTATAACTTTTTATCTAAAATCTCTACGAAGGTCGTTTATTAAGGCGTTCCAAGTTTTTAATAAAAAGAATAAAAATAAGCTGAGACTTTGTCTCCTTGTTAAACAGCAGAGCTCAGTCTGTCTTTGAACGCAGCGCTTTCCCTTCAGACTGACGATGATTGTTTTCTACTTTCAGCTGCTTTAGATCATCAATGAAATGTAAAATAACAGCAAATATAGGGAATAATAAGTTTAGACTCCAACAGAGATTTGTTCCTTAGGAAACGAGTGTAACACAGTTTGTCCGAGTGGAGTTCCCATATGATGACGTCATAAGAAGGGGCGGGGCGTGAACAGCTGGATCATCCTCTCCTTCTGTTTCCAGGGTAACGCCAATGTCGTCCAGCCAAGTACGCAGCAGCGACGCCTACGTCTTGTTCTACGAGCTGTCCGCCTCCTCGCGGATGTGAGGATCCCTGATGGACCGCCTGCTGCGGCTGACGCACACATGGAGGGACGGATGCACCTGAACATTGGCTCCTAACAGCAGCTGGAGAGGAGGACCCGCGGCCCCCCTGGGAGGACCCGTGGCCCCCGGGAGGACCTGCGGCCTCCAGCTGTTTTCTGTCTGCGTGTGCGTGTTTGTGTGTGATGCGCAGCGACAACAGGGCAATAACCTCGATGCACGGACTGCTCCATGTCAGACGTCCCTCTCTATGCACTGCAAACGAACAGTTAGCCCCCCCTGAACATGTCGCCCTCTGGTGGCCAACAGTCACAGCGCAGTTTTAATCTGGTTAATCAGCAGGACTGGTTGAGGTTTCAGAGCCTGCAGCTCAGCCTGGAGTCCTCCACAGCGCCCCCTACCCCTGCACTGCAGCACTCCCATGTCTGCCGGCGTCTCTTTCGCTCCGATGGCCGAGCTTTTAATGTTTCACTTTTTAGTGTTTTTTTTCTCCCGACGCTTCACTGCGTGCTGTGAAGCAACGAGCGGACGGACGCGACGACGGAGGATCCGACGGTCGCGGCGACCGCCTCTTTTCTTCCTCTCTTGTTTCGTACCATTGAACACGGAAAGAATGTTTTCAAGAAAATGAAAAACTATATCTGTATATTTTTATATCTTGATGCAATACAGAGAATGTAGAATTCAATGGTGCTGAAAACGACCCATAACTGTCCTTAGATGGTTCATTTCCCAGGTTCCAAGAGAGAAAAAAGACGTTTTTATTTATGCTTTGGGTGATGATGAGATGAGCCTCTCTCTCTAACATTGGCAGCAGTGTGAGTGTGTATAAATATATATACACACCAATAAAATCCAGCAACTCAGCAGTTTTCCTCTGTGTTCCTGTGTTATTTGGGATGGAAGCTGAAGCAAGAAGACGGTAGATGGTGATTAAACGTTTCCTCTTTAGATGCAAAGCTTCTCTGATCATGCAGATCTACGTAAGAGCTCTGTGTTTTTAAAGACGCATAAATATTTTAGATCTGCAGACTGAGAGGATTCAGTCCACACTGCAAGAAATATAAATCCAAGTCATTTTTTCTTAAAATAAGTGCATTTCTTTCTTGAATTGAGGAGATGGTGGAAAACTTTGACAATGGAGCAAAACAATTTAAATTTAAAATAAGAAAAAAACAATTGTGTTGTATTATTTCAAATGCATATTATCTAATTATCTCATTCTAAGTGTAAAAATCCTCTTTAGGTCGCAGATCATCTTATTTTACTACGTGAATTAAAGGTAATTACATTTAATTTAAGAACTTTTTACTTATTTTCATTTTCAGTTGTTTTTGCAGTGAATCTTGCAGTAAATATCAGGACATTATATCAGGGTATAATCCATTCTATTCAGTTTATTTCTATAGCTCCAATTCACATCATGTCATCTCAGGTCACTTTCCAGTTCAACCAGATCATCCAGTCAGATTGATTCAAAGTTTTCTATCTAAGGAAAACCAGCTGATTGCATCGACTCATTGACTCTTCAGCAATCCCTCACACTAAGCATGCTTGTAGCGACAGTGGAGAGGAAAAACTCCCTTTGAACAGGAAGAAACCTCCAGCAGAACCAGGCTCAGTGTGAGCGGCCATCTGCTGAGGCCCACTGGGGTTCAAGGAGACAGAAGCAGACATAGAAAAAGAAGCATAGATACAAAAGGCAACTGTCCAGTCAAGGCAATTTAGCGTTTCTGATCACTTACATCCCCCTTATAATTAAGTACCCCCCCACCCCATCCTCATTGAGATCTAGAAGCAGAAGATCTACATTCAGCCATTCAGCATAGATCCTGCTACATGGCGGTACGTCTTATTTTAGCATTTGACTAATTAGATGAACCCTTAAATGATTTATTACCTACTGGAAATCGAGTTGGGGAAAAAAAAAGAGAGGTAGAAAGTTAATTGAAAAGTTAATAAGCCAAGTTAACAATTATATTTAGGTCTATAAACTAAAGAAATGTCAGTATCAGCATTAATGCCTCTAAGGTTAAGTTGGATAAAAAAATGTTACTTTCACTCTCTGAGTGTTTTTCATTTATTTGTTATAGAAGCTCTTTTGTTATTTTTCTTAATATATTCGGGCAAGTTGGTGTTTCTTCTTATTACATTGAAACATTAATAAATCTGGATATTCTGATGGCAGAAATCAATATCAAAGGTAATAAGGTCTTATCCTGGATTCCATCAAACGCTATTGTCTGGAAATGTTGCCCTATAAAAGGTAAATTGAAGCTAATTTTCATGTTGGTACTTAAAAAAATATAAAACATCAAAATAATTATTTTCATCCAGATAATACACAAAATAAATTGTTTTTCAAGATGATGCAAAGTTAGATCTGACACTATTATTGGTTATAAAACTAAGAAAATAAAGTCTAAGGAAGTTATCATCCAGAATTATAGAAAAATGTTCCTTTAATAGAGTAGAGCAGTAAAGCTTCTGACCTTAACAGTTTTTCCTCCATTAATTTAACTTTTATACATTAAGTAGTTTTAAAAATGATACTTTTACGCTTTTACCGAAGTAAAAATCTGAAGTTGATCCTCTAACTTCTATAAAAGTGTTTTTAAACAGCAGGATTTATGCTGCAGTAATAAACATGAACACTTTGGAAAACTCTGGTTAAATTGTTTTATAATCAGGAGATTTCAGTTTTACTACGAGCCTCATGAATACTTTATATCACATATTCACCTGCTTTCATTTTCCAAGCGTCTATAATTCAGTGGTGGAAGTTCTTCCTAAGAAATGACGTCAGAAACTCATCATAAATCAAACGATGGGCGGATCTTTGTGTTCAGGAGGATAAACCTTCATGCTGCTTAAATACATCAGAGCTTCAGACAGAACGATGATTCCTGGAAAGACGAGGAAACGTCTTTAAAACACAGAGTGAAAGTCTGGATTCCTGCTCTAGTTTCCACCATGATGACCCAGAATTTACTCAGTCTACTGAAAGAAAGTTAAATTCTCAGCTTATTGTAAAAAATATATATATTTTATGATAATTATTTCATTTCAACATGTGACCCAATAAATAAGACTTCTGACCTGGATGACATTATTCTTCAATAATAGCAGAAAAAAGAAGCTAAACAAGCAGGAGTCCAGGAAGCTGTGAGTCTGTGGGAACCTGAAGCCGCGCTGCAGCATCTATGCTCTCCAGCTCTAACAAAGTTTAGGTCATTTAAACGTCTTAAGCGTTTGAACATCAAGGAAAACATTGGAACTAACGACCTAAATGTATATAAAATAGAAATTAGAGTCAGAGAAACTTTCTATAATTAACATCGAAGTAAACGTGTTTCACATTCATTAGTTTAAGAACTCAAAGTGTTTTATGAATAATAAAAACTACTGCAAACAAATCAGAAGGAAGACATTTATAGGAGAAGTGTTAAAATGTTGAACTTTACTGATCTCACATTGGAGAAATTATGACCAACAAGTTCTATTCAGTTTATTTCTATAGCTCCAATTCACATCATGTCATCTCAGGTCACTTTCCAGTTCACCAGATCATCCAGTCAGATTGATTCAAAGTTTTCTATCTAAGGAAAACCAGCTGATTGCATCGACTCATTGACTCTTCAGCAATCCCTCACACTAAGCATGCTTGTAGCGACAGTGGAGAGGAAAAACTCCCTTTGAACAGGAAGAAACCTCCAGCAGAACCAGGCTCAGTGTGAGCGGCCATCTGCTGAGGCCCACTGGGGTTCAAGGAGACAGAAGCAGACATAGAAAAAGAAGCATAGATACAAAAGGCAACTGTCAACCAGCTCCACAGGCGGCCCCGTCCAGGAAACACACAGCCAGGCAGACGAGCTCCGAGCCAGCTCCCATGTCAGAGGATGAAGAGAGCACATCCAGTTAGCCACAGTCAGAGAAACAGGACTACACTGGAAAACAGGCCAAGCTCCAACATCTAGAAACAAAGGTGTTGATGGCAGCAGCACAGCTGATATTTCTCTCCAGGATGGAGTCACAGCCAAACAGGAACAGACCAGATGAAGCTACTATGAGAAAAAGCAGAGAGAGCAGAACGTTAGAGATTGAACTAACAGATTCTGCAGAGTGGGAGAATAGAGATAGAATGAAGCAGAATGATGAAAAAGGGGTCCCTATGTCCTCCAGCAGTCTAAGCCTATAGCAGCAGAACTATAGAGATAGCTCAGGATAACCTGAGCCACTCTAACTAGAAGCTTTATCAAAAAGGAAAGTTTTAAGCCTAGCCTTAAAAGTAGACAGGGTGTCTGCCTCACGGACTAAAACTGGTAGTTGGTTCCACAGGAGAGGAGCCTGTGGAACAGTTTTAAGTCTAATGTGGGTGTTAGACCACATATTTTGTATTTTACCAATAAAGAATTATTTTTTTTTTTTATAATGATCACTTGTTTCACTAGATTTAGGTCTAAGATGTGAATTTATTTTAGTCTTCGGTCATAAAAGGGTTTAAAATAGAAAAAAGTTGATAATAAACACTTATGACTAAAGCGTTTTATGAGCAGAGCCAATTCTCTGGAAGTCCTCAGCTGTGAACCTTGGACCCCCCCTCCCTCCATAAGGTCCACCTAAAGATAAAGCTTTACTGGTTCAGTGTTTACAGGCACAGCAGGAGTTATGGACAAGAAAACCCAGAACTGGTTCCTCCTCTGATTATTTTCCAAATACTGCGTGAATAACTTCAAACCCGGAGTCCTTTCATGGCTTCCTATGGTAAGAAACTCCCAGCTGTTTCTATAGAAACTGCCGCCTGTTGTGTGAATGACTTAGAGATGCCGGCTGTTGGTCAGGTTCCAGATCCACGACAACCGGACTGGTTTTACTGCTGCTGGGCGAGAAGGAAAGTGGGAAGAGCTCCGCAGGAAATGCCATCCTGTCCAGAAGAGCTTTTCACAAGAAAACCACCCAGAGCTGCAGGAGGAGCGCCGCCATCTTTGGCTTACAGGTCAGTTACCCACTTTATAACTTTACTCGCTTTATCAGCTCATTGTTGCTCACTTTGAACTTCATCCCTCAGGTGGACGTGGTGGACACCCCAGGATGGCTGTCCCACTCCTCCACCCCCCACTGGGTGTCCAAGGAGCTCCTGCGAGCTGTGACCCTCTGCCATCAGGGACCCGACGCCATCCTGCTGGTGCTGCCCATCTCCTCCAGGTTGGGTCAGGAGGAGTGGGCGGCCATGGAAGCCCAGCTCAGACTGCTGGAGACGCCCATCTGGCAGCGAGCGGTCATCCTCTTCACTCACGGGGACAGATTAGGTAAACCGTCAGTTTATTATAGAGCTCCATCGCTGCCACAGGCCTTAACCAGGAGAACTGGGACTGTTGGTGCTCTGCTGGTTCTGGATTATCCTGAACTGATCGCTTAGCCTCATTGTTAAAAAAAACGGTAAATGTCATCCCAAAAAAAGAAAAAGTTTGTTTCCAAGTTTGAAGACGTTTCTCTTCCATCCAGGAAGATTTTTCAATTCCAAATGTCAGAAATAGCGTTTAGTTCCAGGTTTTATCCAGCAGCCCAACAAAGCCTGGTTTTAGTTTAGAAAACATGCAAATAGAAACGGACTAACGGGTCCCCCCCTTTGGAATGGGGGTCGTTTATGACCCCCATTCAAAATGAAACGGGTCCATCAGGGGCTTTCATCGCAGCCCCAGTCCCTGTACATGAGAGCGGAGGACCTCACCTATTCATCCAGGCCAACAATTCCCTCTAACGACCCCCCTTTCAAAGACATAGACAGGTATGGGGCATTGCAGGCTAACTAAGAAGCCAAACCACCCCCATTCCAAAGGGGGGGACCCGTTCATCCGTTTCTATTTGCATGTTTTCTAAACTAAAACCATTGGGATCACTGGGATGTCTTTTTTTTTTATATATAATTGAGGAGGTAAGTGAGACACTTTGCCAATGAAACACGACAATTTACCTTTAAAAATAAAAATAAAACAATTTCATTGTCTTATTTCTAGTTCATAATATCTAATTATCTTATTTTAATAACTAATAATAATAATAATTGAACTTTATTGATCTCAACTTGTAGAGATTCACCTCTGCATTTAACCCATCCCCATGGGGAGCAGTGTGGGGAAAAACAAAATCCGCTCATATTCAGAATTCAAACTTCTGAAAGTTCCTTAAGCTATCGCCTTCAATGTTAAAATCTCCCACCATGATGACCCTGTCAGTATTTAATACCAAATCAGTAAGTCAGACTGGAAGATTGTTGCTACTCCTCCTCCTCGCCCAGAACTTCTGGGGATGTGAAAATTTAAATAGCTTGAAGGAGTTGCCTCATTTATGCTCACATAATCCTCTTGCTTCAGCCAGGTTTCTGTAAGGCAACACAAGTCAATGTGATTATCACAAATCAAGTCATTAACTAGCAGATTTTTAGAGGAAAAAGATCTTATGTTAAACAGACCGCATTTAATAGTTTTAACTTTTTCCCCAATTGGAGTTATTTTAATTTGAATTAGATTATCATGATCTACTCCTTTGGGAATATTTGCTAATTTATTAGATTTTGGTCGTGGGCAAGACACTGTCTGGATGGAGTAAAGAGTGGGTAACAGTAGAGAAGCTGCAGAGAGGTCTGTTAAACTACAACTCTGCTCAGTTAATAGGCTGAGGCAAAGTTTTCTGCTGTGCTTGATTTGGATGTATGTTGAATTTATGTGGATCTTAAGGGAAACAGTAAGACAATGGACATTGTACTGAAAATAAATGACTTTACTTTATGTCAAACGGGAGATCTGCATGCTGAATCTTAATTAATCGCATGTAAAACCAATGCCTTTCAACGACAACCACCAGTAGCCTAAAATACAGGATTTTAGCCGCTACAAATGCTAATTCCATTAACAGATCATCTTATTTAGCTGCTCATATTGAGGGTAAATACACTTCATTTCACAAATGTTGACTTGTTTCTAGATTGTTATAGGGCTTGGGATCCGCGTTGCATTGTGGGACGTGGCGGCCATATTGAGGGCTACACGAACGTTAACATAGCTCTGATACAACGTTGTTGTTGAAAGAAGAGACGTAGAAGTAGAGAGAAAAAAGATGTTAAAATCCCGAAAAGGATCTGGAATTTACCAGGAGACATTAAATAGAGAAGCCAGGGACCGGTATGTTGACAAAATCAGCATTATTGATAATTTGGATCCATATGAAGTTCCAAACAATGAGTGGAGCACCGATGAGTGAGCGCCTATACTTCAAAACAGTTCCCAAGCTACAAGTCCTTGGAGTCTCATGTGCAGTTCATGAATGGATGGGTTCAGGAGCTGCAGATCATAAAGCCAGCAAACAGTGGGAACACAGTAATCCGTACGAAGGTAAGCTGTGACCAGACGGGCTCTGGAACCTGCTAGTTTAGCAACTGCTAACCACTAATGCTAACAACCACTCACGCATGTAATGTACTTTTAACTAGCTGCTATGTGTTTCAAAGGTGTAGTTAGTAACGTTAACTGCCAACCCTCCGGGTTTCTCACGTATTTGAGCCTTTTCCTGCTGCCGTTTTTATTATTTTACCGTAAAAGATCCAAACTTTGAAGGAAAGAAACACTGTAGGCTATAAAATAAAACCGTGCATCTTTAACTCACCAGAATGAAAATGCAGGGAACACACTCTCATTGACATCGGGATACTGTGGAAAGTTATGTTCGCTCGTCTTACAGCCGCGATCCAAGCTAGCCGACGACTCTTTATCTCTGACGCTTGGTCTCCATGGTTACGCCTCCAGGCAGGAAAGCGGTGGAAAGTTAACCCATTTTCTATGTTTCCATGGCGATCATGTGTTGAGCTGTTACAGCCCACAATACAGCAACGGTTTACCATTGCTTAAAACACGGCTGAGAGGGAGTACAGAACGCGGTAGTCATAGGCAGTAGTCTGAGCAGCGGTAAAAGAGGCCTTCAAGATGGCGGCAACGCAAAGTAATTATGTCATGACGCCAAAGCCCTATTGCAGCGTGATGACGTTCTAGTTTCCTGAGCAGCGCCTGTAGCGTTATAGACGGTAAGTAGGTCTTTCATCCAGTGAGTCTTTGTCCCACAGGAGCGCTGCCGATCCAGGAGTACGTGAGGCGACAGGGTGGGACTCTGCAGTGGCTGCTGGAGCGATGTCAGAACCGCTACCAGGTTCTGTCCAGTCTATGCAGTACGGCGCAGCTTCAGGTCAGACAGCTCATTAAGAAGGTCCAGATGATCGCAGAAGCTTCGAGGACTATCACAAAGATATACTACAGGGTGAACATCCAGCTGGGAGATCTGAGCCTGGGGGGGACCAGGAGTCTGCAGGAGCCAGAGATGATGGGGAAGGAGTATGATGGTGCGGGACCAAGACAGACAGGTAAGCAGGCACCTTGTTTCAGTCAGTGGATGAACATGTGGAAGAGCCTCACTGCGCTTCGTCTCTGCAGGATTCATAGCCGCTTCTGGTGCGGCGCTGTCCCTCATCCTGCTGGGACGCAGGAACTCCGGGAAAAGCTCAGCAGGCAACATGATCCTGGGTAGGGAGGAGTTTCTGACGGACATACAGACGGTCTGCTGCTCTGCAGGCCATGCAGACGTATCAGGGCGGTCTGTGACGGTGGTGGACACGCCTGGGTGGAGTCTGTTTGCTCAGGCCGACCCTGAGGAGGTGCAGAGGGAGATCCTGAAGAGCCCCTCGCTCTGTGCTGCTGGGAGCAAAGTCATGGTCCTGTTGGCCATTCCTGTGGACTCCTTCAGAGAGAAGGACAGGAAGGCTGCGGAGACGTATGTCAGGCTGCTGGGGGAGCGAATTTGGAGCAGCACCGTGGTTCTGTTCACTTATGGAGACGCTCTGTGGAGAAAAACCATGCAGGATCACATTAAGGAGAAGGGCCCGCCTCTGGAGTGGATTCTGGACAAGTGTGAGCATCGGTTCCACGTGTGCGACACAAACAGCACGGACCCGGATCAGGTCACACGGCTCCTTCAGATGGTGCAGAGCGCTTAGGAACCATCCATCTGGAATAAGGCTTTTTTCCACTGAAGAATTTTATTAAATATTTATTATAATTGCATAAAACAGAAATGTAAACCTTTTTTCCTCCAGAATGTAAATTTGAAACACGCCATTTTCTGTTAAAACAAAAATCTTTGGTCATTTGAAGCCAAAATCTAGCAGAACAATAAATAACGTTTTACAGTCTAAAGATGACGAAATGGAAAACAATGGAATAGAATACGAAATATAATGTGGATCCGTACCAGTAGGTGGCAGTAATGCACTGTTCACCAGACAATAAACTTTCAGTTAGAAGAAGAAAAATCAAATGTAATGATAGAAACTTTAGTCAGTTAAATAACCTGCTGCTGTCATTCTGCACATCTCTCATGTTTGCTGCTATTTTCAAATATCCATTACTGTAAAAATGTCCATAGCTGCATATTGGTTATTTATTCTCCAGTTTTATATCGTTGAAACACTTCACAGTATTTTATTGTTTATATTTGAACTTCCCTATTATGTTATTCTTACCGTATATATTTTTCTAAGGTCCACATGTGTGTGACCATTTTCAATAATCTTTCTGCTGCTGTAAATTTGCCCATTGTGGGACAATAAAGAGATTTTCTATTCTATTCTATTCCATTCTATAAAATGGTTAGAAAGACATAAGTAAATGTAAACAATGAATGTATAAAAAATATATCTGCAAAATCTATTATATTCAACAACAAAAAATACTTAGTTAAGCAAATTGTGCAAAACAGCAATAAAAAAATTAAACTCCTATCAGATTTATAATCCCCCCCACCCTGCTGATATGTTAGAATCTGTCCTTAAATTACAGCCAAACCCATTTACACAGTAACAGATAAAAACCTGTTTATTTGGCTTCAACACCACTGAGGTCACAGAAAAGACGTTTTGTGAAGTAAAAAAAAAAAAATTATGTGCAAATAATCACTGCATATACAGGTGCTGGTCATAAAATTAGAATATCATGAAAAAGTAGATTGATTTCAGTAATTCCATTTAAAAAGTGAAACTTGTATATTATATTCATACATTACATACAAACTCATATATTTCAGATGTTTATTTTGTTTAATTTTGATGATTACAAATGACAACAAATGAAAATCTCAAATTCATCATATCAGAAAATTAGAATATTACTGAAGACCAATAAAAACAAAGGATTTATAGAAATGTTGGCCAACTGAAAAGTATGAACATGAAAAGTATGAGCATGTACAGCACTCAGTATTTAGTTGGGCCTCCTTTGGCCTGTATTACTGCAGCAATGCGGCGTGGCATGGAGTCGATCAGTCTGTGGCACTGCTCAGGTGTTATGATAGCCCAGGTTGCTCTAATAGTGGCTTTTAGCTCTTCTGAATTGTTGGGTCTGGTGTATTGCATCTTCTTCTTCACAATACCCCATAGATTTTCTATGGGGTTAAGGTCAGGAGAGTTTGCTGGCCAATTAAGAACAGGGATACCATGGTCCTTCAACCAGGTACTGGTAGCTTTGGCACTGTGTGCAGGTGCCAAGTCCTGTTGGAAAATGAAATCTGCATCTCCAAAAAGTTGGTCAGCTGCAGGAAGCATGAAGTGCTCTAAAACTTCCTGGTATGTGGCTGCGTTGACCCTGGACCTCAGAAAACACAATGGACCAACACCAGCAGATGACATGGCACCCCAAACCATCACTGACTGTGGAAACTTTACACTGGACTTCAAGCAACGTGGATGAAGTGCCTCTCTTCTTTTCCTCCAGACTCTGGGACCTTGATTTCCAAAGGAAATGCAAAATTTACTTTCATCAGAGAACATGACTTTGGACCACTCACCAGCAGTCCAGTCCTGTTTCTCTTTAGCCCAGGCAAGACGCTTCTGACGCTGTCTGTGGTTCAAGAGTGGCTTGACACAAGGAATGCGACAGCAGAAACCCATGTCTGTGTGTGGTGGTTCTTGAAGCACTCACTCCAGCTGCAGTCCACTCTTTGTGAATCTCCCCCACATTTTTGAATGGGTTTTGTTTCACAATCCTCTCCAGGGTGCGGTTATCTCTCTTGCTTGTACACTTTTTTCGACCACATCTTTTCCTTCCCTTCGCCTCTCTATTAATGTGCTTGGACACTGAGCTCTGTGAACAGCCAGCCTCTTTAGCGATGACCTTTTGTGTCTTGCCCTCCTTGTGCAAGGTGTCGATGGTCGTCTTTTGGACAACTGTCAAGTCAGCAGTCTTCCCCATGATTGTGTAGCCTATAGAACTAGACTGAAAGACCATTTAAAGGCTTTTGCAGGTGGTTTGAGTTAATTAGCTGATTAGAGTGTGGCACCAGGGGCCATCAATTTTGAACCTTTTCACAATATTCTAATTTTCTGATATGATGAATTTGAGATTTTCATTTGTTGTCATTTGTAATCATCAAAATTAAACAAAATAAACATCTGAAATATATGAGTTTGTATGTAATGTATGAATATAATATACAAGTTTCACTTTTTAAATGGAATTACTGAAATCAATCTACTTTTTCATGATATTCTAATTTTATGACCAGCACCTGTATATATATATATATATATATATATATATATATATATATATATATATATATATATATATATATATATATATATATATATATATATATACACGCCCGTTTAGGGAATGACCTGAAAACAGTGAAACATTTGTTCTAAGAAAGAAGTAAATATTTATTTAAGAGAAAGTTATTGGTTAGAAATATTAAAAAAGAATCAAAAATACGTTTTTTATATCATTTTCTGAAAAGAACAGGGACGTTGGACAGATGCTGATCCATACTCGGCTCTAGGGGGCGCTAAGTTAGCTAAAAGTTGTTTAACAAACGCCAATTAACCCACGAAGAAGATGTTTGTTGACGTTTGGCTGCTGGTTTCATCATGGCGGCCTTGTTCTGTGGAGCGGCGCTTTTTCCAGGATTGTTCTTCAGCTTCAGGAGGATCCTGAGAAACACCTGGACGGACTGGAGCGACGCTGACGTCACCGCTGTCAGTGAGAGGTCAGCCCATATCCGTAGAAACCTCATTGGACACTGTCGGCAGCGAGGCCGACGTACCCATAGGGCGGCCATCTTTGGTCAGACCACAGTTCAGACAGCTTCTGTCAGAATGAACAGGAGGCGCCTTAGATCTCATTTTAATCACATGAAAGAGTCAGAAATAATATAATAATCTCCTACATGTCACACTCTTAACTAAAAAATGATTTTAGAAAATTGCCTTTCAGTTAGATTACACAGATTTACTCAGATTAAAAACTATTTAAACTGAACTCAAACTGGATGATATATAGGCAAAATTATATAATTTGGAATTAACTCTTACTGTGATAAACACAAACTGTTATATTAATATATTCTAATATGTTTTACAAATATTATATATTTATATCATATTCTATGTAGTATTTTTAAGGATTGCTATCTGATGAAGTATCATGATCTATGGAGGAAAATTTGTTGCAATGGGATAAAAAAAAAAAAAAAAAAAAACAGCTGTCTGAATTGTGGTCTGACCCAAGATGTCCGTCGTCTTGGCACGTTGGCCAACAAGCAGCTGTAGCGATTCCTATATGTGGATTCATAAAACAAATATAACACTCTACCTTATGTTCAGAAGAATTCTAGATAAATACAAATAAACAATTTACACTGTTTTAGTTTTTTATGTCTAAAGATGGCAATTTTAAATCAGAATATTAAAATTCATCCTGTTCTTTGAGTCTTGAAGTCATGCCTACAAAAGTTTAATCACACTTAATAGGAATAGGAAATGTAATGTGAAATAAACGACATTTGATTATTTTCTACTGCAAGAATTTTATTTACAATAAATTTTAAAGCAACCAAAGCTGCAACAAAGTAAATACATTCATAAAAATCAAGAAAGATATATTAAAAATAATAAGGAGTTATTTTGAAAAAACAATTTCAAACCAGCGCTATCAGGCAGGGTGGTTTTCTCCATATATTCTCTCTATTGACGGATGGATAGTTTGATATGATGTCATCAAACTGCTTTTTCTTTCCTCCAGGCTGCTTTCTGCTGTCCATGCGTCCTTAGCCACTGCAGCCGGAGTCACGGTTGTTTCATCTTGCAGAGACGTGATGACCGACAGGTGAGGAGCTCATCGTGCACTTTTTCATGATGTTGTGAATAAAGCACACCAGTGAAAAAGCTTCATGTCTTGTGAACAGTCACTGGCTGGTGAACAGCTTCGTCCTGTTTGGAGCTCCCTACATGCTGTTTGACATCTATGCCATGTATCTGAACCACCGCCACACCCAGGAGGGATCCCAGACTCCCAGCAGACGCTCTCTTCATGCATTCAGAGCTTTCCTCCTCAGGGATTGGATGCTGGTTTTGCATCACCTGGTCCTGGTTTTCATTTTCTTACCCATCACATTGGTGAGATCACAGAGAAATCCACTCAGTCCTAACTGTCCTTAAATGTCCTCCTCATCTCGCTTCTCAAAGCAGGTTTAACAAACTCAAATCCTCAGATCTGTATGTTGCAGCCGTGATAGCCATGCTAACTATGTAGCAGCAGTGATAGCCATGCTAACTATGTAGGAGCAGTGATAGCCATGCTAACTATGTAGGAGCAGTGATAGCCATGCTAACAATGTAGCAGCAGTGATAGCCATGCTAAGCATGTAGCAGCAGTGATAGCCATGCTAACCATGTTGCAGCCGTGATAGCCATGCTAACTATGTAGCAGCAGTGATAGCCATGCTAACTATGTAGGAGCAGTGATAGCCATGCTAACTATGTAGGAGCAGTGATAGCCATGCTAACTATGTAGGAGCAGTGATAGCCATGCTAAGCATGTAGCAGCAGTGATAGCCATGCTAACTATGTAGGAGCAGTGATAGCCATGCTAACCATGTAGGAGCAGTGATAGGCATGCTAACTATGTAGCAGCAGTGATAGCCATGCTAAGCATGTAGCAGCAGTGATAGCCATGCTAACCATGTTGCAGCCGTGATAGCCATGCTAACTATGTAGGAGCAGTGATAGCCATGCTAAGCATGTAGCAGCAGTGATAGCCATGCTAACTATGTAGGAGCA